TATGATGCTAAACTGAGATGCTTATTTATTTAGAACTTCAAATATAATTGGCCAACTGAAAGTTTGAACAATAGGATACTGGAATGGCTCCTGTGATGCATCACTGAATCTTAAGATATATCTAATGAATATTTTTTTTAATTTTATTTTAGAGGGAATTTCCCAAATTTTTCACATTTCGTGCCAGAAACAAGGTAATTTATTTTATTTGAAATACATTTGTGATTGCCAGTCATGGATGCAAAGTTTAATAAGTTATTGCATAATTATGCTTCAAGAAAGATGTTTATACAGTTTACTTTATTTTCTTTCATGTCATATCCGTAAATGTCACTTTTATGTCTTTCCATCGCTATATTTCTGTCTTAAGTCACAGTAAACACTTTTCCTATAAATTTGTTGTTTTTTGTATATATTGTCTGTATATCTATTTATTTATTTTATTTTTGTTTGGCTAAGAAAAATGTCTTATTCACATGTGAAATATCATTGTGTTAATTCAGTAAACTTTTTATTTTAGTTTGAGGAAGACAGAATTTATCGGCACTTGGAGCCGGCTCTTGCTTTTCAGCTAGAGCTTAACCGAATGCGCAATTTTGATTTGACAGCCATCCCTTGTGCAAACCACAAAATGCATCTATATTTAGGGGCTGCAAAGGTAGAAGTGGGAACAGAAGTAACGGATTACAGGTTCTTTGTGCGTGCTATCATCAGACACTCTGACCTGGTTACCAAGGTAAGCTTAAGTATTTAACATAGATACCCTCCTCCCTCTTCGTCTGTAATATATCACCATACTTCTAGATCAAATATTGTTTTCACATAGAAAAAAACAACCTCTCTTATAACTTTTCATAATCTTTTGAAAGCTCAAATATTTGAGTACCTTTCTAGATCGTTGATCATTTACCCCATTTTGTGCTCCTCATAATCCCAACTAATTTAAACTGATCTGTCCTCTCTAGCTCCTCATATTATTACCTTTTGCTGCTTGTGTTCCCATCGCAAAGACTTCCACTTCCTTCCTGCATTTGCTCATGTTAATCTAGTATGCTATCAGCTCATTATAGTATGTTATGGTGCTAGTTCGGTATCATGTAATTAACATGCTTAATGGTAATTGTATTTTTAATAATCAATAGAAGACACTATTTTCATTTTACAAAAAGTGCAACAGACAGTGGCACTTTTATAAATCAACCTGGTTACTACTCTTAGTAGTCATTTCCCAGAGCACAGAGTAGTCATTGCCCAGAGCACCTGACTTGCAAAGACATCTCATTAAACTGCACTGGGAAGTGTGTGATTGGACAGCCACAAAAAGACTAGGTGGGGTTAAAATTGGAGGGTTTGCAAAGGCTGCAGACAAGAGATCTGCAAATTTTTATAAGCTTCTTTTATGTCCCAGTTAGAAAAATGCATAATTAAAAGCATGCATGTGTGCATTCAGGATATATCTATATTTATTTTTTATTTTTTAAATTTTGGGGGCAGTGGTGTGTCCCTTTAAGTATATTGGAAACTAATTAAATTTTGTTGAATTTTACAGGAAGCTTCATTTGAGTATCTGCAAAATGAAGGAGAGCGACTGCTCCTGGAAGCTATGGATGAACTGGAGGTAGCCTTTAATAACACCAATGTGCGAACTGACTGCAACCACATATTTTTGAACTTTGTGCCAACCGTTATAATGGATCCATCAAAGGTACGCAAATCTATCTTCTCTTACTTTGGTAGTAGTATTACTATATCTGGCAAGGTTAGTCAATAAAGTGTAAATTGTCAGGAGTGTTAGGTCAAAAGAGTCAATATTAAAGCAAAACTGAAAGGAAGAATTTTTTCCAGACATTCCCTTTTTGGTCAATAACCTTGCGAAACTTTTTTGTTTACATTTTAAATTTTGCATTTAAAAATGCATTTGAAAATGGACAAATCCAAAATTGACCTTTCTTATCCATTATGTAAGTAAACTGCAATTTTTAATCACAAAGTAACAAAATATTAAAGCAAAGGCTTGAGGGGAAGAAATAGAAAGTGATGACAGAATTAAGACAATAAGTAGAGATGAGAGAAGGACTATCTGGTATGAAAAGTGAGGGGTCAGGTAAGGCTGAGACATTGTAACAGTCCACATAATATGACTGTGGAGCCCAAAACATTGTGAACGATTCTAGTGTATGTCTGGTTAACTTATCCATCATGTTGTATACAACTTTAGAGATGGGAAGGATCTTATCTGCTTTCCATACCTCAGCTACAGATCTTCTGGAGACCAAGAGTAGTTTAGAAATGAGAAGATATTCACATCTCTTAATGACCTGTAGCATAAAACAATAGGGGTGATTGGGTAACAAATAGGAAGCAGGCAGATTCCCAGGAAAGAACCATTTTAAGGCAGTGTCATCACATATGTACATGACTGCCTCAATTCACACAAACTGCGCAAGAAGTGTCAGTGGAGACTGCCCAATATAAAAATAAAAGCAACTGGGAAGGTGTACTTATACTGAGGCTCCCCATATATCTTTCCACTTTGTTTGTTCAGTCTCACTTCCCAGATCCATTTCCCAATTGCCACGTAAGTCAAATAGTCGCTAGGATTAGAGACTATACCCTTCAGTAATGAACCAGTTAGACCAAGGCTAAAAAACCTTTGGCACACCAGATGTTGTGGACGTCATCTCCAATAATGCTGGCAAAACATCAGGGTAGATGTAGTCCACATCTGGAGTGCCAAAGGCTGCCTCATTACATGGTAAGCATTTAAAAAAAAAAAAAAGGTTCAACCACTGCAAAATTGTAAAAATATATAGAATACTTACGTATTTGGAATTCTGGAATAAGGGATACATACTTCTGTAAGCTGGAGACAATAATGCTGGGGAGTTGGTGGCATGTGTGATTGTATCCAGAGGACAATACTGCTTAATGGAGCAGTCTAATATTAATACACAGATTGCAGGTCCGCAACTTGGATGGCCTCTGTTGTGGTTACCTGGGTGACAGCCACTAGAAGTGGCATTTGCTAGGAGTGTAAACACCATCATATTTCAGAAAAGGCATTGTGTACGCTGTAGAGATTCCAAGGCTAGTCCCTTTTCCCCAGAAACCACTACATTAAGCTGTAGTGGTTCTGGTGCTTACAGTTTACTTTTAAATGTGAGTACATATTAAGGTGTAAAGTTAAGTAGGATTTTTATTTTCCAATGTGGTTAATGATAGTAAAACAAACTGCACTTTTCTATAGCTTTATTGGCTTCTCTTATTCACAGATTGAAGAGTCTGTCCGTAGCATGGTGATGCGCTATGGAAGCCGACTGTGGAAACTACGCGTACTACAGGCTGAATTAAAGATAAACATACGATTAACACCAACGGGGAAACAGATCCCTATACGCCTTTTTTTGACAAATGAATCTGGCTACTACCTAGACATCAGCTTGTACAAAGAAGTGAACAATTCTAGAACTGGACAGGTATATTCATATTTTACTGGTTTGGTTTATAGAATTTATTTGCGGTTTATGATAGATATTCATATTTCAATATTTAAAAGAAGATGTTATACCCCTCTTTTTGTATAATTAATGTTCATAAACAGGCAGGGGCGGACTGAGAGCCTTTGGGGCCCCCGGGCAAAATTAGATCCCAGGCCCTTTGAAGGCCAAATATATGTGCATTTTAATAAATGTTAAATATAATTCATAATACGGCATTCCTTTGGATGTGTGTATTGTGAAGACCTGTGTATCAATGCATGTTTGTATTTGAGTCTGTGTGAATGCACTTGTGCATGTCTGGATGACTACATGTGCTTTTTTGTATATAGTGTCTGTGTGAATGCATATGTGACAGGTGACAGAGTGTGTGAGGGAGAAGGTGACAGGTGGAAGACTGTGGGAGGTTTTGACAGGTGGCAGAGTGAGGGGGTACCTGGTGGCAGAGTGAGGGAGGGGTTGAGTGGTGGCAGAGTGAGGGGGAGACACAGTGAGTGGGGGTGACTGGTGACAGAGTGAGGGAGTGGGTGACTAGTGACAGAGGGAAGGAGAGGGGGAGACTAGTGACAGAGGGAGGGAATGGGAGACTAGTGACAGAGTGAGGGAATGGGTGACTAGTGGCAGAGTGAGGGAGGGAAGGGGTGACTAGTGACAGAGTGAGGGGATGACTGGTGACAGAGTGAGGGGGGGGGGAGGGGTGACTGTCACTAGTCACCCCATCCCTCTCTCTGTCACTAGTTACTCCCTCCCTAACTCTGTCACTGTGTCACCCGCTCCCTCCCTCTGTCACTAGTCACCCCCTCCCTCACTCTGTCACTAATCACCCCCTCTCTCCCTAGTCACCCCCTTCCTCACTCTGTCACTAGTCACCCCATCCTTCTCTCTGTCACTAGTCACCCCATCCCTCTCTCTGTCACTAGTCACCCCATCCCTCTCTCTGTCACTAGTCACTCCCTCCCTAACTCTGTCATTGTGAAGGAAGGAAGGGGTGACTGGTGACAGAGTGAGGGAAGGGATGACTAGTGGCAGAGTGAGGGAAGGAAGGGATGACTGGTGACAGAGTGAGAGAGGGGGTGACTAATGACAGAGTGAGCGAGGGTGTGACTAGTGACAGAGTGAGAGAGGGGGTGACTGTCACTAGTCACCCCATCCCTCTCTCTGTCACTAGTCACTCCCTCCCTCACTCTGTCACTGTCACCCCGTCCCTCACTCTGTCACTAGTCACCCCCTCTCTCACTATGTCACTAGTCACCCCCTCCCTCACTATGTCACCCCCTTCCTCACTCTGTCACTAGTCACCCCCTCTCTCACTCTGTCACTAAAGACAGAGGGGGTGATTAGTGACAGAGTGAGGGAGGGGGTGACTAGTGACAGAGTGAGGGAGCAGGTGACAGTGACAGAGTTAGGAGGGAGTGACTAGTGACTAGTGACAGTCACCCCTTCCCTCACTCTGTCACTAGTCACTCACTCTGTCACCTGTCACTCCCTCACTCTGTCACTAGAGTGAGGGGGTGACTAGTGACAGAGTGAGGGAAGGGGTGACTAGTGGCAGAGTGAGGGAAGGGGTGACTAGTGGCACAGTGAGGGAAGGAAGGGGTGACTAGTGACAGAGTGAGGGAGGTGGTGACTGTCACTAGTCACCACCTCCCTCACTGTCACTACCCTCCCTCCTTCTGTCACTAGTCACGCCCTCCCTCACTCTGTCACATGTCATCCCCTCCCTCACTCTGTCACCAGTCATCCCCTTCCCTCACTCTGTCCCCCCCTCACTCTGTCACTAGTCACCCCCTCACTCTAGTGACAGAGTGAGGGAGGGGGTGACTAGTGACAGAGTGAAGGAGGTGGTGACTGTCACTAGTCACCCCCTCCCCTCCCTCACTCTGTCACTAGTCACCCTCTCTCTGTCACTAGTCACCCCCTCTTTCACTCTGTCACTAGTCACCCCCTCTCTCACTCTGTCACTAGTCACCACCTCCCTCACTATGTCACTAGTCACCCCCTTCCTCACTCTGTCACTAGTCACCCCCTCTCTCACTCTGTCACTAAGGACAGAGGGGTGATTAGTGACAGTGAGGGAGGGGGTGACACAGTGACAGAGTTAGGAGGGAGTGATTAGTGACAGAGAGAGGGATGGGGTGACTAGTGACAATCACCCCCTCCCTCACTCTGTCACTAGTCACCCCCTTCCCTCTCTCTGTCACTCCCTCACTCTGTCACTAGTGTGAGGGGGTTACTAGTGACAGAGTGAGGGAAGGGGTGACTAGTGGCAGAGTGAGGGAAGGAAGGGGTGACTAGTGACAGAGTGAGGGAGGTGGTGACTGTTACTAGTCACCACCTCCCTCTGTCACTACTCCCTCCCTCCTGTCACTACTCCCTCCCTTCTTCTGTCACTAGTCACCCCTCCCTCACTCTGTCACCAGTCATCCCCTCCCTCACTCTGTCACCAGTCATCCCCTTCCCTCACTCTGTCACCGTATCACCCCTTCCCTCACTCTGTCACTGTGTCACCCCCTCCCTTACTCTGTCACTAGTCACCCGCCTCACTGTCACCCCTCCCTCCCTCACTCTGTCACTAGTAACCCCCTCCCTCACTGTCATTAGTCACCCCCTAACTCTGTCACTAGTCACCCCTCCCTCTGTCACTAGTCACCCCATCCCTCCCTCACTCTGCCACTAGTCACCCCCTCCCTCCCTCTGTCACTTG